GTGTGCGTGTGCGTGTTCGTGTGCGTGTGCGTGTGCGTGTGCGTGTGCGAGTGTGCGTGTGTGCGTGTGTGTGCGTGTGTGTGTGTGTGCGTGTGTGTGTGTGTTTGCGTGTGTTTGCGTGTGTGTGTGTGTGAATGTGAATGTAAATGTGTGTGTGTGTGTGAATGTGTGTGTGTGTGTGAATGTGTGGGTGTGTTGGGGTGTATGGGGTGGGTGGGTGGTGGGTGGGTGGGTGGGTGGGTGGGTGGGTGGTTGTGGGTGGGTGGGTGGGTGGGTGGTTTGGGTGGATGGGGGGTGGGGGGTGGGGTGGGGGAAAGGGGGGAGGGGGGGGAGGGGAGGGGGGGGGGGGGGCGGGTGTGGGTGTGGGGGGGGGGTGTGGGTCAAGCTAGCCAGCTAGAGCGAGTCAAGCATGGCATGCCAATTTCCACCCGCCCTCCCACAACATAAGAAACAGTGATGGCACAACTGGGGGCTGCGCGGGCATTTCAGTGTCGCAGGTCCCAGAGCGCTGACTTCCAGGTCCCAGAGCGCCCCAGGAACGCCCCAAGAGAGCCGAGACGCCCCCGAGACGATCCGAGGGGCCTTGAGTCGTCGAAAGATCGTTCCAAGACGCCCAAGATTGCCTCCAGACGGCCGCAGACGCCGCCAAGAAACCGCGGGGAGCCTCAGGAGGCCCTCCAAGAGCCTGGACAAGCAAAAACCTCCCAGGCATTCGTCACCCCAGGGCCTCCTGGAACGCCCCGACGCCCAATGAGTTGGCGAGCTAAAAACGTGCGCCGAGCCAAAGCGGGAGCGCAACTTTGAGAAAATTTCGCTCGGCGCCCAAGCGGGAAGGTCATTTCATTCACTTCGAGCGGGGGGGGGTGTGCCGCGCCCAATTCTTGCCATGCACTTTTGCGGGGTGGGCGACAAGAGCAGCTATGTGGGCAGGGAAAATCAGACAAGAACAGCTATGTGGGCAGGGGAAATCAGCATGGCATTGTTTCTGACAGGTAAGGTGGCCTCTCCCGCCTTGGGGTTGCCCCAGAAGTCCGCGCGCGATGCGCGCCGCGCCCCATTCCTGCCACGCATTTCGCATCGTCGACGACAAGACAGGCCATGATGAAAGGAAAAAGCGGCAACTCTGCATTGTTTTTTACACTCAGGATGGGACAGCCCGCGGCCCGCATGGACGTCCGCGCGCGATGCGCGCCGCGTCCCATTCTTGCCACCTCTTTCGCACCGTCGGCGACAAGGCAGGCCATGCTGAGAGGAAAAAACGCAGACTTTGTATAGATATTTTACAGTCAGGAAGGGCGGGTCCGGATTGACGGCCGCGCGCGATGTGCGCCGCGTCCCATATGCGCGCCGCGTCCCATTGATGCCACATATTTCGCACCGTCGGCGACAAGGCAGGGCATGCCGAGAGGAAAAATCGAAGACTTTGTATTGTTTTTTTGCAGTCAGGATGGGCGGGCCCAGATTGACTGCCGCGCGCGATGTGCGCCGCGTCCCATTCCTGCCACATATTTCGCATCGCCGACGACAGAACAGACAATGTTGAGAAGAAATGCGGCCACTTTGTATTGATTTTTTAACAAGTCCGGATGGGAGGTCCCGGATTGGGTTGCCACCGGCCAGAATACGACGTAGGTGGGGGTATAAAATAACGAACAAGGATGTGGGTGCCGGTGCGGGTGCGGCGGGTGCGGGTGCGGGTGCGGGTGCGGGTGCGGGTGCGGGTGCGGGTGCGTGCGTGCGTTCCTGCGTGCGTGCGCGCGTGCGTGCGTGCGTGGTGCGTGTGTGTGTGTGTGTGTGTGTGCGTGCGTGAATGTGTGTGTGTGTTTTTGTGTGTCTGTGTGTGTGCTTGTCCATGTGTGTCTGTGTGTGTGTGTGCGTGTGTGTGTGTGTGTGTGCGTGTGTGTGAGTGAGTGTGTGTGTGTGTGGGTGTGTGTGTGTGTGCGTGCGTGCGTGCGTGCGTGCGTGCGTGCGTGCGTGCGTGCGTACGTGCGTGCGTGTACGTGTGTGTGTGCGTGTGTGTGTGCGCGTGTGTGTGTGTGTGTGTGTGTTGGGGGGGGGCGGGGGGGGGGGTCTGTGGGTGTGGTGTGCGTGTGCGTGCGTGTGCGTGTGCGTGTGTGTGTGTGTGTGTGTGTGCGTGGGTGTGTGTATGTGTGTGTGTGCGTGTGTGTGTGTGTGTGTCGTGTGTGGTGTGTGTGTATGTGTGTGCGTGTGCGTGTGTGTGTGCGTGCGTGCGTGCGTGCGTGCGTGCGTGCGTGCGTGCGTGTGTGCGTGCGTGCGTGTGTGTGTGTGTCTGTGTGTCTGTGTGTCTGTGTGTCTGTGTGTCTGTGTGTCTGGGTCTCTGTGTGTGTGTGTGTCTGTGTCTGTGCGGATCGTCCCGAACGGCCGCCGGAGGGCAGAGTTATGACCCCAAAGCCGTGACCTCCCTGCTCCGTGAGCAAAAAGAACACAAGGGAAGGCTTTTGGCCGCTCTGGGGTGACTTTCGGGCCCCAGGGCCGTCCAAGAACGATCCGGGATGCTGTATAATCACCACGACGCCGAATCAATTGTGGTTCTTCCCCCCCTCTTCCAGGGTCGATATTGATCTGATCGGTTCGGTGTCGATTTTCCGAGAATCCGATGCATCCCGATGGTTGCATGGGTGTTGTTGTGCATGCTGGGGTAGCGGATCCGATTCGATTTCGGTTCTGTGCCGACGCAGCCCGATCCAATGCGCATTCCGAAAGGCTCCGATTTCTCAGCCCGATGCTGACTGATCCTTCCTTCCCCTCCTCGTCCCCTCCTCATCCCATCCCTCCAGTCGTTCCTTCGCTTGCCCTACCTTAGCCTTCCCCTCCCCCACCGCACCTCCTCCTCCTCCACCTCCACCACCTCTTGCGCCTCCTCCTCCTCCTCCTCCTCCTCATCCTCATCCTCCTCCTCCCTTTCCCCTCCACCTCGGACCGAGGTACAACATCGATGTCGGCTCGGGGAGGGTACAGTACCCTAATGTTCTTCGTGGTTGTTGAATGTTATTGTGCTTCCTGGGGGAGTGTACCCTCGAATGTTCTTCAGGTTGGCCAGCGGAGGATCTCATGTTCTTGAGGGATCTTATTATGTCCTTGGTCTGGCCGTACTTGCACTACATATGTGTGCGTCCCCCCCCCCCTGGACGCTCATAAGTCTAATTGTCTACGCTCCCTGGCGGGCGGTGTCTGGCCACACCGTCTGGGGAGCTCTGAGTGTGCTGTGCGATGTTCTGATCGGACGTGCGCCCCACACAAAGGCACAAAGTACCAGTGTGTCCCTCCTTTGTCCCTCCTCCGTCCCTCGCCCTCCTCATCCTCGCCCCTCCCCTCCTACTCCTCCTCTTGTTTTGGCTGGACGGGCTCTGGGTGCAAGTGGTCCTCCTCCTCCTCCTCCTCCTCCTCCTCCAGGATGCAGCCTGGCACGGCAACGCTCGCGCGCGGCCACGGCCCCGCCGCGTGCGCTTCGGGCACGCCCCTCCTCCTCACTCCTCCTCTCTCACTCCCTCATCCCTCCCTCCCTCCCTCCCTCCGCCCGCGATCGCCTCCCTCGAGGGCGGCGGGCGCAGGCGGCGCGAGGCGCACCGCGGGGCGCACCGCGGGCGGGTGGGTGGGGGGGCTTTTTGCTGCTCTTCTTGCTAAACCCTAAACCCTGAACCCGTGTTCCTGCTGTAGGCGGTCCGAGCTGCTGCGCCGTCTCGCAGGCAGGATCGAGGCGGCCCGTGCGGCCTCTGCCAGGGAGCGGGCGGCGCGCTGGCCGCAGGCTGTTGGCTTCGGTGCCGACGGTGGTGCTGTTGGCCTCAGTTCCCGAGGGTGTTGCTGCGCATAGTAATCAACCTCCTCCTCCTCCTCCTCCTCCTCCTCCTCCTCCTCCTCCTCCTTCTCCTCCTCCCATTACTCCTCCTCCTCCTTCTCCTCCTCACTCTCCTCCTGCTCCTCCTCCTCCTCCTCCTCCTCCTCCTCCTTCTCCTCCCCTCGCAGCAGCTGCTGGTGCTGGTGCGGAGGGGCGGGGCCCCGCGCCGAGGCCCGTCGAGGGGGTGTTCGGCGCGGACGGCGAGGAGCTGCTCCGCCTGCAGAGGAGGCTGGAGCTGGCTCTGCCGAGGAGGGGCCGGCTCTGCCCAGAGGGCCTCCTCGAGCCATGGAGAAGCCACGACGGGAGGATCCTCATGACCTTGGGACATTTTGGGGGCCCTTGCCGACCCTCGGGGCCGTCAGAACGCGACGCCGGTTCCGGGGAATGGGTCGAGACCTCTTGGGGGTCGACGTTGCGTGAAGATCATGACGTCGGGGGTCTGGGGACGGGGGTCAATGCAAGCAGTGGCGAAGCGTCCTGGCTCGCTTATAGCCATACCAAACATGTTCTAAGAACCTTTTGTGGTTTCCACGAAATGTTATTTGAACATGTCTGGTTGAGATTGTCTTGTTTTAACACGTCGGGATTATGTTCTAAGAACATTGCTTGTGTTTTTTATCGAAAATTTTGGGGTTCTAAAAAAAAATCGTGGTAGGACTGTAGGAATGCCGGGACGGTCGGCCCTGCTCAATCAATGCTAGCGGGGGTCAGCCAGAGCGCCGGAGCTCGCAGGATGCTGCAGGGCCAGAGGTGCACAGACCCAGGCCAGCGGTCAGCATGCAGGATCCTGCGTGATCGTACAAGATCTTGCTCACCAGCCTCGGACTTATCCCTATCCCTCAGATTGACACGCCAAAAGGCGATGACAATCTCAGGGATGCGCCCTGAAAAACTAAGGGAATCCCTAAGATTGACATTGTGATGAGGCGATGCCCAGCTTAGGGATAGGGAAATGTTCCAGGCTGGTAACTTGCAGGATCCTGCAACGCCTGACTAGCCGGAGTTTGCATTGTCCTCCTTTTGCCAAGACGACATGTCTTGGCCGCCTCAGGCGACCACAAGATCGGCGTTGCCGTTTTCTGGCACCGGGCGATCTCGCCAGGTTTCGGGCCTCGTCGCAGCTCGATCCGACTCGGGCAGCGTTGCACGACGACTGGATCTAGAGCTCTGGTCTGGTCGTGATTCCTCGCGATGCTGCCATTTTTTTGCAACGTCGGATCTCAGGGGAGGGCAAGTTGAGAAACGACGAAACGACCGTACAGTAGTTGTTCTTCGGGGGGGGGGGGCTCGTCGCCACAGCTGGACGGAGCTCAGGGAAGGGTCCGGGAACCCATTCATCTGGGTATCTTTGGTTTTTCAACATGTACCATCGGGTCTGTCGACGTACCTTCGCGTAACTATCTGATTTCATCCCCGCCTGTCTATCCGTCAAGCCATTCTGCACCACCTCCGCCTTTTCCTCCTCCGGCCACTCCTCATTCTCCGCTTCCTCCGCCTCGTCTTGACCTTCTCCGCCTCACACTCCTCGCTTTCGCATCCGCCTCCTTCTCCTCTGTCTTCTCCTCCATCTTTTCCGCCTCAGCCCCCTCCTCAGGCTCCGCCTCCTCATCTACTTTTTCCTCCGCCTTCTCCTCCGCCTCCTCCGCGTTCTCCTCCCCTTCTTTTCGAGCATCGAGATCGTGCGGTCGAGGATCGAGTTGTTTGAGTTTGTGCTGCGCCTTTTGTGGTTTTGGCTTTCAGAGGCCTCAAGGCCCCCCCGGGGACCCCCAGGAGGAGGAGGAGGAACAGAAGAAGAAGACATGAGGAACTAGATTGGGCAGATAATTAGGAGGACGAGGCAGAGGTATGAGAAGAATGAGAAGTAAGGGGGGTGGATGAGGCGGAGGGCGAGCAGAACGACGACGAAGGATATATGCTTGGGTCCTCTGTCGTTCCTATGGTGCTCCTCCCTGTGTCGGTGCATCTCACTGTGATCATTTACTTCGTACGCCTGCCTCATTGCTTTCACCAGCTTCGCTCTTGTCGCCTGTTCACCCTCCTCGCGCACCTTCTCGAGAACAGCCGCATGGTCCGCCAAGTCTTCACACACTCCGTCCATTTCCTGCTGTGTCTGTGCATAGCCGTGCACTCCCTCAATTTCCGTCGCTGTTGCAAGAGCTCCCTATTTTTTAGAGCGCTCGCTACTGGGTTGTCACAGTTTTGTTTTGAAAAGTCTCCTGTGTAGCTGTCCTCGCTGGTTTGCCTGTTCTCTACATGCAAGGCGTAGGTTCCGAGAGAAGCTGCTCCAGTGTTTCCCCTCCCATATCCTTGATATGTTCTTCGAGCATGTGGAAGAACTCGCTGCGCTTCTTGACGCTCTTGATGCACTCCATGAGGGCTTATCTGTTCGTCCATGCTTCCTGTCTCCTGCCACACCTGATTTGGGGAAACGCGTGCTCGGGGTCTATCTCGAGGACTATTCCTACCTGGATGTGGTACTGGTGGCCTCCACCGTTGATTACTTGCATCAATGTTGTTGCACTTCTGAGAGTGACGCGCCTCTTCACAATGTGTAGTGCTCCTACCAGTACCGCCACGTGTTCAATGTGCTTAGTTGTGCCCGTCGTACTTTAGCATGTTCACCCACACCCGTAACGCGTCATCGCAATTGCCAGCTCTTTCCGCGCACAAGACTTTCGAACTGATGCTCAATTCTCAGTTTCCATTTCGTTCGCCCAGGGCCCAATTGTGTGGTATCTATGTCGTTCGATGCCTCCTCCCCTGTGAAGTCCCAGTTGGCTGTTACTGTTCCCTCCCACCACTATTGCACATCTGCAAGAAACCCCCATCACAGTATCCTTCCACACAATTCAATACATTCCCCCATTTTTTGTTGCAGGTCGGGGGCAGGCACGTCGCAAATACTGTCAGGTCGAAAGCTGTCGTGGCCAACCTTATCTCCGCACCCTTGCAATGTACCGCGAGGGAGGTCGATACGTCTGAGGGCCTTGGGGTCTAGGTATTTTGAGACGAGGAACGTAACCTCACATGCCTTGGTGTACTCCGCCTAGCTGCACTCCCCAGTGGTGTTTCAGATACGTCGCCTGTGTCGGTTCTGGTCCAGCCCATCTGTGAGTACTCGTCAGTGCCACCACGTCCCACCCGCGTAGTTCCTGGCGGATCTCCTTTAGCCTCGCATGTGAATTGGCGGTTACGGGATTGCAGCACGCAGTTTTATAGCCGGCGCTGCGAGACAGATTCGAAACATATGTATTGACATCTTCTATTGTCCCGTGCCCTCTCTCTGGCCAGTGCGAGCAGCAGGGCGGGAGTCTGATCAAGGCATGTTCGTTACGCTTTCTTCGTGGTCGGTTCTCTGGTCTCGAGTGCCGACGGCGACTAGGAGTAAGAGGAGGAGGAGGAGCAGGAGGAGGAGGAGGAGGAGGACGACGAGACGGAGGAAGAGGAGGACGGAGAAGGGGAAGGAGGTGGGGGAGAAGAAGGCGGAGGGATCTAGGCGGGATGACGGAGGCGCGATGACGAAGGGATGGAGGAGGAGTATGAGGCATGTTCGACCTGCTCTTTTTCATTCTCTTCCGTTGTGTAAGTTGGGCTCTGCCAGCACGCCCTTGAATGTATGAATGATTGAGGAGGGGATTTCCAGAAGGGATTTTGCGGATTTTGCGGTCGATGCGAAGTTGGGAGTTGGACAAGTTCAGACATATGCTCAGACTCAGGCGGCGACAGGAGGAATCGCCGATGTGATTCAACCAACGCACGGCTTCTAAGATCATGGTTTGGATGCGCCGGGCCAAAGTGAGAATGATACACCACAGGATCCTGAAGGCAATCTACAAGTCAGCGTGGAAGGAACGATCTTCACCGTGCAATTTCGGAGACCACCCGCTGTCCAGCGCTCGCACATACCGGTCCAGAGCTTGGTGGGACACCGTCTGCTTCGTGAGCACCCGCAGGGAACGACGGAAGACAGTCTACGAGCACGCCCACGGCGGTCAACAAAAGCTCTCTTGGGAATCGCCGTTCGTGCGGGTTTACGGAGCGCACTGGCGACTACACCGGGATTCTCACAATTCAGAGGAGGAGTGGATGAGGAGATGCAGCAAGTTCAAAGATACATGGTGTTCTGCATGGCAGCTCCTGCGCGTTGCGGCAGAGACCGGAGGATGCGCCGGGGGCGACGCTCCATTCAGATTCGCGCATTGTCCGCGGCAGCCCGCCGAGGTGATCCAGCCGCCGATAATGCAGCCGCACCCCTTGGACGATGCCTGGCAAACGGAGGGTGGACGCCTCTGGGTTCAGGTAGACTGTGCGGCCTTGGCGGAGACGTTGGCCGGATTCGCAGGCCTGCGGTCGGAGCGTCACGTGCCAGTGTTCCGGCGGATCTCGTACATGAGTCTTCGCTTACACTCGTATGGCATGCGGCCTCTGCATGATGCCTTGGATTCTGTCTTCTGGGCCCCGCGCGAGTTTCACGATCTCGCCGGCCACTGCGTGAATGCACCGTTGGACGAGCAACGGTCGTGGTCGAATGGCCACGGGATTCCCGCGGATGGCACTAGCAAGCGCAAGCCTGCGTCTGGTCGAATGGCCACGGGCTTCCAGCGGATGGCATTAGCAAGCGCAACCTGCGTCTGTGTACCGACGGCGGCCTACGGCGCAACGGCGAAGGCGCCATGGGCTTCCCCGTCTTGCACGGGACACAGGCCGGCACAAGTACACCACGCTATGGGGAGAAGGGGTGCCAGTTCAGGGGCTTGCATCTGCGTTCGAGGCCGAAGCTTTGGCATTCGAAACGGGCTTGTGGTGGCTAGTGAGTGCGTGGTTATTCTCTTGACTTTAGACCACGCTCTCTTCGAACGGACCATGGCCCACGCTCTGTCGAAAGAAAAGAAACAAGAGGGGACAGGATGGGAAAAAGGGAAGAGGAGAGAGTAAACATGAGGAGGGGGCGGAGGAGGAGGAGGTCGGCCGCGTCTCACGGAGACGGGATGCGCCACCAGAGACAGCGACAGGACGAGGAGGGATGAGAAACATGAGGTAGGAGGGCGACGCAGACATACAACGGCCCGATGTTTCCTCGGCGTGGGCTCCACGACTCTTCGACCTTTCCCTCGGGCTCGGCTTTCCAAATCGGAGAAATTCCTGACGCTCTTCGGAAAGACCCCAGGGCGCGAATAACCAGGAGGGAAAAAACACAGAGGCACAACGAATTGTCGACTCCCAGGAAAATGTAGGAACATATGGGAAGTGGGGGGAAGACCAGAGCTCAGACAACATGGGGACAACTATGGGGGCTCATGTGACCTGCGTGTTTTTACTTGTGTGTCCCAGGGCCCCTTCGTACTTTGCCGTCTCGGTGTTCTGTCCGCGCCGCCAGGGTTTTGGGCGGGAGGAGGAGGAGGAGGAGGAGGAGGAGGAGGAGGAGAAGGAGGAGGAGGAGGAGGAGGGGGAGGAGCAGGAGGAGGAGGAGGAGGAGGATGGGGAGGAGGAGGAGGAGGAGGAGGAGGAGAGGAGGAGAAGGAGGAGGAGGAGGAGGAGGAGGAGGAGGAGGAGGAGGACCAGGGCCCGAGTCAACCCGAAACTGCAAGCTGGGCCCGGCCGTGGTCACGAGGGCGCTTCAGCATGCTCCAGAAGGAAGGCGATGCTCGATCTTCGAACCCCGTCGACGACGACGACGAAGATGATGACGACGAGAACGCCGAGGACGACGAGGACGCCGACCACGCGGACGACGACGACGACGAGGACGACGAGGACGACGAGGACGACGATAACCACGACAACAACGAGGACGACAACGACGAGACAGCGGCGACGGCAGCGGCAACGAGGCGATGTCTCCCCTGCCCGCGGAGGACGCCGCGCGGCGCCTGCCCTGGCGACCTCGGGCCAGGCGGCGGAGGTCGCCGCCGCGCCCCCGCTCGGCACGGGGAGGGTGGCCCTTTTCTGGGGGCGGCCCTCTCGGGCAGGGCATTCTGCGGCTGCGGAGGGGATTCTTGTGCGGACTGTGTGTGCCGAGGCCTGGGCGTCTGCATGGATTCCGCGCGGCGCGGGCCCCCGGACATGCCAGCCCTCATCAGGTGTGGGCTCCTGGGCGGGTTCTGTGTGGATGTTCCCTGTGCGAGCCACGTGAGGCTCGAGAGCAATCCGGCCGGTGGAAGGGGAAAACAAACCATGCGGGATGGGTCCGGCCGAAATCCGTCTTAGAATCCAAGCGAGTATGCCTCGCTTGACAGCGGTGGTCAACAAGGACTGAAACGGCAAACCAAATCGATGCATCATGTCGCAAAGATGCCCTACCTGAACCTATGGTGCGGGACCAGGGGGCCCACAGCCCTGGCATGATATCCTCGCGGCGTGGACAAACATCGCGGCGGAAGGTATTTTGCCGTTCTCGATCTTCGGGGGCCCTTGCCCGGTACTGGGGCCCTCGAAGAACGGCTTGGGGTTGAAAGCCAGTCTTGGGAAGGCCAAGAAGGGACCAAGGCATTCGGGGGAGCACGTGGTGACAGAGCCACTACGTCGGATGTCTGGGGGGTTCTGCGCTTTGATCTGCCCCGCCGCCCCCCCCTTGCTGCGCGGCCCCTGACGCCACAAGCCAAAGGTCATTCTCGCCCAGGGTCACTCCTGCGTGCAGCCGCCCCAGGTCGGACGCCATGCGGGGGGTGGGAGCAAGGTTCAGGAGGAAAAGAAACACACAGACACAAGTAATCCTCCATTCCCCAGAAAATATGGGAAAATATGGGAAGTGGGGGGGAAGACAACAACCCAGAAAATATGGGAAAATATGTGGAATCTTTTTATTTGTGTGTATTTATTTGTGTGTTCTGGGGCCCCTTTAGTGAAATCTGCTGCACGCAGCCGGCTCGGGCCCGCGGTCCGTCCGGCGCGTTCCTCGACACGTGGGCGCCAGGGCCAGACGGCGCCGGGGCGGCCAGCTGCCCACGCTGACTCGCCACATTCAGGAGGGGAAAAAACACACAGACACAATGAATCGTCGATTCCCCAGAAAATATGGGAAAATATGGGAATTGGGCGGGAAGACACAAAACCCGAAAATATGGGAAAATATGGGGACTATTTTTATTAGTGTGCATTTATTTGTGTGTCCTGGGGCCCCTTCACACATACGGTCACGAGCCTTTGGTTCGCGTGTCGCTCCGCCGGTCCTGTCCCGCCTCGCTCCGGCTCGACATGCCATCCACGTCCCGGTCCCCAAGCGTCGATGTCTCGAGTCGCGCCCCGCCTCCCGCCGCGCGGAGCGGAGCGACAGGCTGTCCGCAGGCACGTCGGCAGCGTGTCGCCGGGGCCGCCGCCGCGACGCGCTAAGCAAAAGTTCCCGACCGTAGCCCCCCCCCCCCCTTGAGAATATCCGACCCGACCGGCCTTCCCGCGCCGCCTTCTAGCGATGCCCTCGCCTCCGCCCGCCTCGCGCTCCTCGCTTTCGGCTGACCACCCCTTACAGCCCCCCCACACACACACAAACACACACACACACACACACACACGCACACGCACACACACACACACACAATCACACACACACACACGCACACGCACACGCACACGCACACGCACACGCACACGCACACGCACACGCACACGCACACGCACACGCACACGCACACACACACACACACACACACACGCACACGCACACACACACACACACATCTGACGCCGTGACTCTTCCGCAGCGTGGTCCCCCGGAGGTTCGTCCCGCGGACGGGCCTTTCCTCCCGAGTCGTCTCCTGCCCGGCAAAGGCCAAACGTTACCAGAATTTGTGCGCCGCAGTTCGTTTCGCAACGCGAGGATCTTCAGTGACAGACTGAGCCGTGAGTTCTTCGAGGGGCATCGGGCCCCCCCCTCCGGCGGGTGCGGACATGTCGGAGGTTGGGGGATGCGATTGCAGTGAAACGGAGTGCACTTCCGCTGGGAGATCGGTTTCGGTTTCGTGTTCGTGTCGCGCGTGCTGGCGAGGCGAAGCTGCACGGTCGCGTGAGAGGAATGACCCCGCCGTCGCTATGCCGATTCGGATGCAGTGGATCGCCCCTCCGCCCCCAGTTGGCGCGCGGTGGCTCGGGGTGTCCCGCCGTGGTGTCCTGTGGTGTCCCACTGCTGACCCGCTGGTGTCCCGTCGGTGCTCCGTCGGTGGGCGTTGGCTGGGGGTGTCCTGCCGTGGTATCGATAATGAAGCCGATGGTGAGATCGATAATGAGATCGGTAGAATGGGATGGATTGTGAGATCGACAGTGGGGGTGTTTGTGACATTGGTTGTGCTCGCGCTGTCGGATGCGCAGGGAGGCGACGTCCCTGGGTCGTGCTGATCTTGCAGGGACTCCCCTGGGGCGAGCACAACGGGATCGATCGCTGAATCCATTGGTACTAAGACTGGCCGTGAGGTCGATCGTCGGATCGATCGAGTGAGATCGAAATCGGGGGCGATAGTGACAGCACATCGCAGCCCAACATCGTTATCACGCGCCGTCGTTGACTCGAGGGCGCGTCACCAGCATCGTCATCATCACACCCATCGCATTTGCCAGCAGTTGGTTCTTTCCCCCCACCCCCCAACCTTCTTATCACCCAAAAGGTGGTCGTGGGTAGTCAGGGCCGTCGTCAGTCGTTGGCGTCGGGAGTGCACGACCACTCTCTACTGGTGCTCGAATCATTCTTCGCGAGGACATCCGAAGTCATGTTCCGTTTCGCATCCAGGCTCTACAGACACCTGGACCTTTTCCCTGAAAACAGCTTCCTGAGTCGTGTTGACGGTATCGGCGCCCGTTGACGGCCCCCGCAGGTGTAGAGCACGCCTCCCAAAAATCCTTCATGGGCTGTTCACGGCGCGAGGATGTCAGGGGAGGTCGGGGTACGGTCGGAGCGAGGCGTAAAAACATACTTGGTTGGGGGAGGGTGCCTCATGCTTTTTTTGGTTTGCATGTTCTTTTGTTGTGTGTTCGGTCTTACCGCTTTGTTCGTTCGCTCTGGTAAGGTTGAGGTTTCAGGCCATGCCTGTCCGCGTTCACCATGGTGTCCTCGATGGGCCAGGCAGTTCGGGTGGTGAATTTTGGGAAGGGGCCCTCGGTGACCTTATTTCCCAACCCTCCTTGGTTGGGTATTCGTTTTGAATAGGGCAGTGTGGTCTCCACTTCCTCCTTCTCGTCCCGACTCCCTCTTGCCTCCTCCTGTCTTGCCTGCGGGGGGCTGCGATCTGTGAAACTGTCGCACGGTCGAGGCCTGCTGGGGGGCCCAGCACAGTGACGCCACGCGCGGACCCAAATTAGACATCGCCATCCCTGGGGGGGCTGCGATCTGTGAAACTGTCGCCACTTTCGAGGCCTGCTGGGGGGCCCAGCACAGTGACGCCACGGGCAGACCCAACTTAGACCTCGCCATCCCTGGAGGGGCTGCGATCTGTGAAACTGTCGCCACTTTCGAGGCCTGCTGGGGGGGCCAGCACAGTGACGCCACGGGCAGACCCAAATTAGACCTCGCCATCCCTGGGGGGGCTGCGATCTGTGAAACTGTCGCCACTTTCGAGGCCTGCTTAGGGGGGGGCCCAGCACAGTGACGCCACGGGCAGACCCAAATTAGACCTCGCCATCCCTGGGGGGCTGCGATCTGTGAAACTGTCGCCACTTTCGAGGCCTGCTGGGGGGCCCAGCACAGTGACGCCACGGGCAGATTCAAATTAGACCTCGCCATCCCTGGGGGGCTGCGATCTGTGAAACTGTCGCCACTTTCGAGGCCTGCTGGGGGGCCCAGCACAGTGACGCCACGGGCAGATTCCAAATTAGACCTCGCCATCCCTGGGGGGCTGCGATCTGTGAAACTGTCGCCACTTTCGAGGCCTGCTGGGGGGCCCAGCACAGTGTCCTCGCCATTCAAATGTAGAGGCCTGCTGGGGGGCCCAGCACAGTGATGACCTCGCCATCCCTGGGGGGCTGCGATCTGTGAAACTGTCGCCACTTTCGAGGCCTGCTGGGGGGCCCAGCACAGTGACGCCACGGGGACCCAAATTAGACCTCGCCATCCCTGGGGGGCTGCGATCTGTGAAACTGTCGCCACTTTCGAGGCCTGCTGGGGGGCCCAGCACAGTGACGCCACGGGGACCCAAATTAGACCTCGCCATCCCTGGGGGGCTGCGATCTGTGAAACTGTCGCCACTTTCGAGGCCTGCTGGGGGGCCCAGCACAGTGACGCCACGCGCGGACCCAAATTAGACCTCGCCATCCCTGGGGGGCTGCGATCTGTGAAACTGTCGCCACTTTCGAGGCCTGCTGGGGGGCCCAGCACAGTGACGCCACGGGCGGACCCAAATTAAATCTCGCCATCCCTGGGGGGCTGCGATCTGAGATCCCCGCTTTCGAAGTGGCTAGGGTTGTTCAGGGATTGTAACTCATCAGCTTTATCTAGTCCTTGTCCTGTAGCCAGTGTCCTGCGAGTCTCCCGAATTCCGTCTGCAGACATATGTAACCCTCGCTCCGTCATCGCCCCCCTTATAAAGTGTCCTAAACTATTTGCGCCCCGCGTTTGCGCAGGGGTTGGGTACGTCGCCAGGGTAATTTTCTGAGTGTTTTTGCTGTCGGAGGCGTTCATGCTTGTGTAGTGCCCAGATATCGCGGGTTTCGTGTTCTGTCCATAACGAGTCCCCAGAACTCTCGTCACACTCCCAGGGACAAGCTTTTCATCCCGAGTAGCTTTGGTTGCGGTCCTGGGTGCTGGCCAGAGGGCCTCCAGATGCCAAAACCAAGGAACCAAATCCGTCTCGACTTGTTCAATGCGTTGGGTCTCTGAGCTCACGCTTTCTTTTGTTGTTTATTATTCTGTCCCTGTTCCGACTGCACCCCTGGGGATCCGCGAGGGGGGGGGCACGTGCTGTCGGAACGTGGATGGGGGGGAGCGAGGAGGAGGAGGAGGAGGAGGAGGAGGAGGAGGAGGAGGAGGAGGAGGAGGAGGAGGAGGCGGACGAGGAGGACGAGGAGGACGAGGAGCGTATGGGAAGCCCGCGGCCAGGCTCCCTGCCGTCGCGCGCCCCGCGGCGCCCGGGCGAGGGCCCCGCCGCCGCCCGCGGCGACGAGGCGGCCGGGCCCAGCGGTGCGGCGGCCGGCTCGCCGCTCCCCGCGGCCGCCGGCCGGGAGAGGCGCGCGGGGAGTCGGAGACCCCGTCGGGTCGTGGCGGAAGGCTTTCTGCCGTGTTCGGCTCGTGGGGTCCCCCACCGGGCCTCGGGACCGTCAGAGCACGATCCGGGAGGACATGAGCGGGTGCTGGGGAGCGGGTCGATGCCTCCAGCGGTCGAGGTGGTGAAAGGATAGCCAGAGTCCGGCGTCCTCGATTAGATGTTTTGATTCAAGGTGGCTCCTTCCACTTCCATGTTGGCTCAAGCGGTCACATGGCCTCGCCCGCGCGCGCCCCCTTCTCGGCGAGGCGCAGCTGCGGGATGTCGGGGCCAAGAGGGGCTCCCTCGGCCCTCCCCGGCGCCTCCCTCGTGGAGGCTGCCGTCCGGGCCGCGGTCGCCACCGGGGCGCCGCGGCGCACGGTCGCCGCCGTCGCGAAGTCGGCGGTCTCCGCCACGTTCTTCGCGTGCGGGGATGTGCCGGCGGCGGCGGCGGCGCCCGGCGATGCTGTTGCTGCTGCCCCCGACGCCCACGCGCCGCCTGCTGCCCCGCCCGCCGTTTCGGCGGCCAAGGCGGAGCAGCGGAGGCGCAGATGCCGCCGCCTCGCAGAACGGCGTGCCGCGGAGGCGTTCCCTGCTGCTGGCGCAGCTGTCGCGGGCGCTGGAGCTGGCTTCAGGGGCCTGGAATTGGTGCGTCGGCCCGTGCCTGCGGCGGCCGCCGCGGGCGAGGAATTGTCGGACCTGGAAGGCGACGGTTGGGCGTGGGCGGACGTCGCGCGCCGTCGGCGGCGCCGACGGGAGCCGAGCGCGTGCGCTGCTGCTGCTGCTGGTGCGGCTGGCGCGGTCCCGCCCGCGGCGTCCCGCGCCGTGGTGGTCGAGGCGGACGTCGCCATCGCTGGGGACATGTGCGTGCGGGCTCTGCGGATCCTGGGGGCCCTATTGGCAGTCCTGGCCCTCTCTTTCGTTCGGCCCAAGGTGATATTATGCGACTTCGAAGATGTGTCCGTAGAGCCCCGAAGCGACGAGCCGTTCCTGATGGCGCGGCTCCTCGAGGGCTATGGCGGCTGTTGCTGCACCGCGAGGCAGGCGCGGGGCTTTCACGAGCTGGCCTTGAGGGCCTCGGGGCCCAAATGCCTGCTGAACCCAATATTTTCTTTGATGTGGTGCTGGTTGCGACGGCGAAGGTTCAGGAGGAAAAGAAACACACAGACACAATTAATCCTCGATTCCCCAGAAAATATGGGGAAATATGGGAAGTGGGGGGGAAGACAGAAACCCAGAAAATATGGGAAAATATGGGGGATCCTTTTATTTGTGTGTATTTATTTGTGTGTCCTGGGGCCCCTTCAAAGGTGCGCGTCGCAGACCGGGCACCACTTCGCTGGAGTAGTCGTCGCGGTGGCGCTGTCGGGGGGGGGGTCTATCACGGCGTCGCAGGTGGCGGGGCGGAGACTGAGAGAGGCGGGGTGGAGTTACTGTGCCAGTCGTAAAGATATGAGCAACGCCTTCGGCACCACCCCCTCGACTTCGATGGGCACGACTATGTTTTACAGTTGTTTATGATGAGAGCTTGCTGCTCTGCAGAAGGCGCCATCCAGACGCCGGTGTCTTACTACCTAGCGACGAGTGGAATGCAGCGGTCAAAACGCGGGTGGGAGGTGTGATGGGGGATCCGGTCATGGCGGCTGCCTTCTCTCTTGCGTTTCAACGTCCTGTGCAGCAGTGGGCGGAGTCCTTGCGCGAACATGACCCCTCGGTCAACCTTCTATGCGCCGGATGCAAAGATCAGGACATCGACCTCAGCCTGTTTAAGTGCGCGGACGGCCTGTACCGCTGCGCCCTTGTCACGCAGGGGATGGCCATGGGCCTCTTCCTCGCCTCGCTCCGTCAGTCTGATGATCTATTCAATTCGAACCTCCAGGAGTATGGATGCTAACATAATCAAGGGAAGCAGGGGCTGGCAGTATGGTCGGACGGGGGAAGGAGCAGCTATGGCATGTCGACGGTGGCTTCGCGGGCCTGGGGGTCTCTTATCTCGGGCGCTCGTGAGGGGGAGGTGAGGCGTTGGGGGACCTGCAGTACTATGTCCCAGGCTTGCAGTCAGGAGGTGGCCAGACGTCACCAGATTGCGCGCTCGACATTTTGTTCTCTGGGCGGCTTCTGGCCCTTGCTCCCCCCTTGGAAGTTGACGCGCGTTACGTGTTCAATCGTTGGCGCAGAATGCAGCTCTCTGCTGCCCCGAGGCCTCTTGTGATTACCGGGCAGCAGTGCTCAAGGATTGACGCGGCAGTTGCCCACTTTGCTCGCGTCTGCGTGCGAGGGCGCGCCAGCATGGCGACTGCGACTGGAGCGACGCGGACGCCCCCGAAGAAGGCAGCGCGGAAACATTAGCGTAGATGCGAGACTTTTGTGGAACTCGGTACTCGCCATCTGAATTGGTGCAAGCCGTGGTCAGCTCACCCTTCCATTCACGCGCGGATTTTATTCGGCCCTCTTCGGGAGGGTGCGCTTCGAAGCTGGGCCTGCACATGCGATTGGCAGCTGCCATGCCCCAAAGGCTTCCCTGCGTGCCTCGAGGGTGGCGGAGTACCTCCGTTGGGTCCAAGGACTCATCCGTGATTCTGAAGACGTTCTAGGAGAAGTCGACGACCGACCTGGGCTCATGCGGGGCCCCGGAGTTCGACCCGCCTTCTTGACTATTGACCTCGTGGCTATACTGGCCTGGACGCAGGCGACGTCGGACGCGAAGCGTGGGCTCGGGGACCATGGCCCGGAGGAGTAACCAGCAAAGCACGCCGAGGACCGCCAGAGTGGCGAGAAGAGCGGCGGGAAGGATGTCGTGACGGAGCCCGCCCTTCTCGTCGCCGAGCCTCGCTTCTCCTCGTCGCGCGAGCTCGCGAACCTCGCCGAGACGGGGGGCGGCGTCGCTCAGCTCATGATCCAACGACGAGACATAACAAACTTGAAACAGCACGGCGAGACATGCAGGCGATCAGCTCATGATCCGGGCGCCAAGCACGACGAGACATCCAAAAGCACGAAAGAACGGCCGCGCGATGGCGAGAATATCGACTTCCGAGCACGAGGGCCGCAATGCTTCCAGCCGTGGGCCGCAGCAGCGCGCTTCCTCACCAAGAACGCCGCGGCCTTCTTTGACGGCAACGCAGTGTGCATCGAAGGCGACCAGAAAAAGTTCCACGAGCGCTTTCTGAAGTACGTTCAGTCAGAGGGGGCGACCAGTGTCGGCAAGCACGCGCCCCACTTCCGCTATCTGAAGCACGGGGGCAAGAAGAACGCCGAGGCGGACGGCGTAGCAGCCAACAACCAGAACCAGACGAAGGGCCGCCTGACCTTCGCCTTCGGCTAAGACCAGGCGGGGGGCCAGGCTCGCGAGATCCTCATCTGGTACCTCAACCGCGAGTCGCCCCAGGCGGCGCAGCTTGCGGGCCCTGCTCCCATGGGGCCATCTCGAGCGCGAGGCAGCCCGCCGCCAGGACCTGATCGAGAAGAGCGGGGCCAGCCAGAGCCGCGGAGCATGCGCCCTTTTATCGAGTGAGCGAGGAAAGGGATAGGAATGGGGGCAGAGGCCATGGCAGAGATGGGACGAGCAGCAGCACGGACCACACTTTGACTTTAAGTCAAGGGGCCTTCTCGGGTAGCGAGCGTTTGGCCAGTCTAGTGGCCCGAGGAATCATCCCCGACCCTTTCGGAGAGCCTCTAGTTGTGATACATGTGCTAATCCAAGTCTTCCCCTCGCCCCATTCGAGGTGGCCCTCAAGCGGGCCCCACGCAGGTCGAAGGGCAGTAGCAAAGGCCGATGACCCAGCCATGAGTCGGCCCCCTAGGTGGTTCTCCCCGGCGCGCCTGCGTGGCGCCATAGGAGTTCGCAACCGTTCGGGGGCGGTGCCGGCCCCGCCAGCGGGCCCCCCCCCGTCTTGTCCACACTTAACCCGCATACCACTACGTCGGTACGCGGGGAGTTCTTACGAAGTTTAATCGGAATGAGGTCGGGCAACCCATCTGAACTCCCCGCGCATTTCTCACTGCTCCTTGCTCATTGCTCCTCCTCCTTCTCCTCCTCTAGAACCAACTCCTCCTGGTCTTCCCCTCCTCCTCCTCCTCCTCCTCCTCCTCCTTCTCTTCCTCCCCCTCTTCCGCCTACCCCTCCTCGTCCTCCTCGTCCACGTCCTCCTCCCCCTCCTCCTCCTCCTCCTTCTCCTCCTCCCCCTTCTCCTCCTCCTCCTCCTCCTCCTCCTCCTCCTCCTCCTCCTCCTCCTCCTCCTCCTCCTCCTCCTCCTCCTCCCCCTCCCTCCCCCCCTCCTCCATTCCTCCTCCTCCTCCCCTACTGCTCCTCCTCATCCTATATCTCCTCATCCTCCCCCCCTTTTCTACGTAATCTTCCTTGCGGGCTTTTCCCCCCCCTTCTTCATCCTCTACCTCGCCATCGACTTCCTCATTGTATCTCTCCTGCTCCTTCTGCCCGGCGTGATCCTCCTTGCGTTCCTCGTGCTCCTCTTCGTGGTCTTCACCCTCCGTTTCGTAGTGGTTCTTCTCCTCCTGTCCATCCTTCTCCCCTTCCTCTTCCTCCTCATCCCCAGCTTTCGCCTCCTCCTCCTCCTCGGAATAATCCTCCCCCCCTTTCTCGTCCTCGCATCCGTCCCCCTCCGCCCCCCCTCCCCCTCGTCCATCCCATCCTTTTCCTCCTCCTCCGCCTTCGATTCCTCCTCCTCCTTCTCCATGTATTATTTAGAAGGCCTTACGGCTGGTGCCGCCGACCCTGCAGACGGAGACGAAGAGCATGACAAGAACGTTGAGGAGCAGGAGGCGAAGGACGTCAGGGACCAGGAGGGAGGAGGAGGAGGAGGAGGAGGAGGAGGAGGAGAAGGAGGAGGAGGAGGAGGAGGGGAACAGGAGGAGGAAGAGGAGGAGAAGGAGGATGAGGAGGAGGACGAGGAGGAAGAAGAGCCGGATGAGGAGGAGAAGGAAGAGGAGGAGGAGGAGGAGGAGGAGGAGGAGGAGGAGGAGGA